GGGTGTTAATGAAACGGCGGTTGGTACTGGACTGATTTATTATTAGTAAGCGGACGGTACATTATATTAAGATACCCTCATATATACCACAAAATGTATAATTGGAATCTAACAGCCGCATTCAGCGTCGTTCAATGGTTAATTAGACACTCGCTTAGCATAGATAACATGTACAAAATGGAACAATTCTCGAGTGCGGCAAAACAGTATTTTGTATATAGCTGAAAATTATTACGGATATATTGACACCATTACGTAACGCTTTAAAAAAATATTCTTCGTTAAAAATTAACCCATTTGTCACATTAATAGGTCACGTGAAAATGCAAATCAATCATTCACTAAGATTATCTCTATATTTTCTAAAAATCGCAAATTATAAATACAAGATTTTATCCCTAGTAATTTAATTTAAACTAGTGTCAACTACTAAGAGATAGCCTTTATGCAATGTAGTTGTAGTCTTGGTATTGTAGAACGATTAGATTCAGAGAAACAGTGTGTTTAGACCACATATGCAATGATAAGACATTTATGTCATTCTATTCATAGAAATATCTTACAGTGTGTCTACCTACCGGTGCAAAAACATGTTACGATCTTTGTTCAACAAGGATGTGTATGTAGTTGTATGTTTTGTGCCGGCAGCGTTTTGACATTTTAGACGCACGATTAATAACTGCATACTATCAACGGGGTACAATTACAATAGATAGTTACGCGACAGGTGCTACGCAGACAAATACAGTTATCATGAATATACTAATTTATAGGACAATAAAACTTTATCGCCACTCATCAACTTGCCTTTGTCCCTATGGAGGGTAAGCACTGTATGTAATGCTCTTCTATATCTCGTCAGCCGTCATATCTGAATTCACTCCTTTAGGCATATCCTCTTTCACACAATTCATCCAAAATTTCTCTAGTCTTCCTCTTTACATTCAATATTTATTTCGTCGCCATTTGCCACAAACCAAATGCATTGCTTTCATGCGCTGTTACGACATTCGCTGATAGATCAATTCGCATTACGGTACTATAACAATGGTACCGCTATTTATTTATAAGTAAAAAAAATATCAATAAAACAAGCGATAACGCTATCCTCAGCTAGTTTGCGGTCAGATTTTGTATAATATATTATCAGTATCGTTATCGCATGGCAGTTAAAAACATAATATATGTAATCGCATGTCAATTTATTATGGTTATAGGTGGGCCTATTCAATAGATCACATTTGACACTTTATTAAAATTCAATAACAACCTTGTAACAACTTTTTCTTTTTAAACATATGGAAGTTACATATAAAATCGAACGAAAACACATCGATTTTTTCATAATAACAAAATTTAAATAAAAAACGTTTGATATCCTTATAGATTCGTTATTTTAATTGAAGTTTTTATGCAGGTTCCTTGACTATAATAGCTTCATATCAAGTGAACACTGAATGTGACCTATTAGATTAATCCAACTAATAGGTGACTATTTTGTGATATACAACCAAAATCTAGCAAGGATTATAAGATAGTCAAACCAAGCATGTCGCCCGGTGAGAGGCACTATTAAAAAATCGAAATGTCTAAATATCAAAGCAAACAAAATTATGTTTTACAACCAAGTACCATTGTTTTTCTTTTTTAGACGTTTAGAATAAATATATATTTAGCTTGTAATTATATCCTTTTAGAATACCGCAAGGATAAGCACATAAACACAAAAGTGTCAAAAGAAACAATGCTTAGCATATGAAAAACATAATGTCACAAGGGAACTGTTGTTGGCTTGTAAACATTAATACCAAAGCCCTTCCGCTGTCTCTAAGTTAGAGGTAACAGGTTCATACAACAATAGATTGATTGGCACAAATCATTGAATATCTCCAGTATGTAATGGTTGCATTACAATTTGTCTTGCCTTTTCCGCAAAAACTTCAGATGAACATACTTATGTCATTCAAAAAGCATATTGGCATATAGCAAATATGGATTGAACCCAGAAATGTAGATTACAAATCTATTCTTTAATTATTACAACCGCCAAAGCTTCAAGGCAACACTTTATCTCCAGTTGTAAATATTACCTGCACTTAATGCTTTTAAGGAAGGTATTAAATACAGATAAGATCATTTCTTTTCAAATTTCCAAGAAAACACAACAAATTGTTTTTTGTAATGTACTCTAAACAAATTGAAAATAAAAATTGATCACACTCACCTTCTTTTCAAGACTGAGGAATATAGCAAATCCAAGAATGAAGATAATTGTTGTTGATTTTGTCATTGTGTAGAGTGAGATTGTGACCAGTTCAAGCCCCCAATTAGAGAAGCCAACATCAATTCCGCTGGCAAACCCAGTGGGAGCAACTGAGCGTAAGCAGGTCATGAATGAGAGCATCAGCTGAGGTCTCAAAGTGATGCATTGTAAAACTTCCCTAACAAATGCTGACAGCACCCATTTTACTATTAAATGGTACATCACTATTGTGAGTGGATACCGTACTTCCTAAAAAATAAAAGACACATAAGATACATAAAACTAATCCAATAAACAATGAAATAGCTCAATTGGTTTTTGGTTAAATCTAATAAGATTCAAATAAGTGAGATTCTAATTAATTTATACTAAAAATATTCATTTTATTTAACACTATTTCAAATTAGGTCACTGAAAAAACTGATTAAAGTTACAACTGATGCAGATTATCCTTAAAAAAATTTTTAGAAGAGATAACAAGTTTGCTTGGATATTTCTTACGAGATGCTAAGTAGTTTGGTTTGTGCTTTTTTTCTAAATCAAACACTACAACATGTATACAAATTAAAATTCGAAAGCAATATGACAATATAATGGAATACCTTTAAAAGCCATCTTTGGTAAAACGTTAAACCAATAGACAATGAGAAGTAAAATAGTATAAGTCCCAAAGAAAACAGAGTTTTGTGTACACATATATCGGACCATTTTCCTTTTGGTTTGCTGCTTATTACATCTTCCTCGACATCAGATTTTGAGGGCAGCTGTTCATATTTAGCGCCTTGGTTGGCGGTCACAGCACGTCCTACCATCTTCGAAACTAAAATATAAAAATTAATAATCTATATGGATAATTTCAACATACAAATTTTTCACTAAAACTTCGTAATAAAACCTAATCGGCTAAAGTGAAAACTCAAATGTCAAAACAACCTGCTATTAAAATGGTGACAAGAGATCTTTAATCTAACTGATAACCGCTACAAGACTCTGCCCTGTTGAAGACCGAACTGAACTGATCAAAACTGACACTCGAATTGAATTTCGATACTAGTGTTAGGGATGGGCGCTAATTTATCGAACTAGTCAAATCAATCGTTGATTTCTATTCAACGTTTCAACCGTTAACCGATTTTCATTCAACTATTCACAGAGGAATTATTGATCACCTTTTTTCTCCAGTGTTTAGGTCTTCCTTTATTTAATGTGCCCTTAACCAGGTGACAAATTCAAATAGTTTGGCGTTGTTATTAACGTCAGAAACCTGTCATAAGATCTTTGTTAGATAGTATATTTGTAAATCGATTGTCGACATGTACATTTAAAGACCGATGGTTTCTTTTTCTTGCAGTGGTTGCTTTTTTCCCTTTTATACGCTAATGTAAATTTTTTAGACCTGCAAGGATCTTTTTTGGTTTTTAGAGTTACCAGATTTTAGAGTTTTCAGACTTTTACTAAAACTAGCTAATAAATATTATACAGATACAGTTTATTATGGAAATATAATGTATAACAATAATAGTTAGTTGACCTAGCATGCCCGCGCGGGCCGCATAAATGATACCTAATCGCCCCATTCGCTTTAAAAACGTAAATTAACCTCCGTTATAACTCCGAATAAGAACGGAAGCGGAAGCGGATGCGGAGTTTATATTTCTTGCTGAAGTTCCGCACTTGCGGATGCGGAAGCGGAGTTCCGATACAACCCTAGATTATATTATTAAACTAGATGTTGCTCGCCACTTCGCACTCGTGAAATTAAAAAAGAATGTAAAAACGTTACCTATGTTACTCCGCGATAATATAGCTTTTTAATGGTGCAAGAATTTTTGAAATCAGTCCAGCAGTTTTTGAGTTATTTCAATGCAAAATTTTTTTCTTGGGGAAAAAATATTTTTATAGACTAAACGATTATGCTAGCTTTATTCTTCTTTGTATTTGATTTCTTTTTTTCTTTTGTAATCACCCCCTGCCCAAAAACAGAATAATTTTTAACTGGTTAACTTTTACCAGTTAACTGTGATTCTTTCGAGAATGTAACTCTGTAACGATTGTTAAAGGTGAATTGAATAACGAACTTAACATTTGGATTAACTGTACCACAGGCTAGAAACTTGTTGATTTATAATGGTGTTCTTTGTGTCTTTTGATTTTTGCCAATTTCATGCGTTGATAGATTTAACATCAAAAGGAGAGCAAAATCTATGATTTCCAAGCAATCGCCTATCCATTTGTATAGATCAATTAACTGTTCCCACCCGTGTCAAAGTGTCAAAAACGAAACTCACGATCACGAAATTATCGATTTCAAGTCCTGTATGAACAACTATCAAAAAGATTCATAAGCGACTAAACCTACAACACTACTAATTTGCTTCTGAATTATCAAATGAATTGTCAAACTAATCAGCTTATATAGGACAAGGTATAGAAAAGATATTATATATTCAATATTCTTAAAAAATTCAAAAATGGCAATCACTCCTCTGCAGTTGTTTACGAGTTATAAAAAATGGGTCGTTAATAATCCAGGAATTGTAACAGATTTGGAAACAATAACAACGTGGTCATCATACTTTATTGCTGGGAAAATAAATAAATCGCCCATTGTATCAGAACTTGTGTACACTCTTTCGAAACTTATTTCGTTATTTAACGATAGACTCATAAGAGATGCTTATGATGGTGAATTTCAGCATTATGGATTTAGAGATCAGGTGAAGCTTTGGCTAACTATTGTACATTATTGTGAAGTATTCATAGAACTCACTGTCAAGAACAAATGGGGAAATCGTGGGAAGTGGGTGGCTACATCACTTCTTCAAACTTTTAAGTGCTGCTCCGCCTTAATTCTGTTGTATCGATTTAAAGAATTACCAATTCAACATCCTCCAATACCAGCTTTACAAAGAAAGAAATTCACTGAAGAAAGAGAATCAGATGATAATGCAAACTCTTACTTTACACTAAAAAGATCTGGTCGTGTTCTTCGACGGGTTGATGGTGCTCCACCGATCGCGTTACGTGATTGGCAACGTGTTAAAATCAAAGACGATAAAACTAACAATACAGAAGTAAAAGACTTGGTCAATGCTGAATTGTTGTATATTTTAAGACCAATGGTACATCTTGCTGCTATGCGTGTGTTTGGGACAACGGCTTGGAAACAGTGGTTAGTAGCATTAGGCTTAGATTTAGCGAGTTTTAAACTTTATAACCGTAATATGAAGGAGTTAACTTATGAACAACGAATAGAAATTAGCCGTAGGAAGTTGGGTTTTATTCTTTATTTGTTGAGAAGTCCTATGTATAATGGCTATTCCAAACATGTGATAGAAAATGTTCTTACTTCTTTGTCAAATAGAATTCCTGCAATGTCATTTGTTTGTGATCCCATTATCCGATACTTAAGTCACTGGCAAGATATTTACTTTTATATGTGGGCATCGTAAATGTTTAATATTGTGTAAGTAATAAGACTTCTTCATATGTTATTTGATTGCCAAAGTGTTTGCTGATATATTATTAAACATTTTTTATTAATACTTATCCTATAAAATGAAAATAAAATCTAACGAAAACAAATGATTAAAAAAACAGTTCTTCCTAATGAATGATATCTAATCTTTCATACAATTTATTGTCACCTCATTTTGATGTACTCCAGCTTTTGTATATTGAAAAGTTGTTCGGCAAAGTACATACAAGTTTTACTATCTCAATCTTTTGGAGAACATTGATGTCACCTGTAGTGGTATTTTAGAAATAAATGTAAAACATTCGAAATTCGAAAATGTATAATTGTATCAATAAGATATTAGTAAAATCAATATTTACGCATACCCTAAGCCTTGTTGATGTTTAAAATGTACCTAGACTTCTTCCTTTCCAATGATTCACAATATTATGTACTATTTTAAGTATTAATGTAACATTTAATGGGCATGTAAGGTTTATTATTTGATAGTGTAATATATGGAAATAAAGGATAAGGGAAACTTTGTATTTTGTATATTGGGATTTTTAATTGCATTTGTAATGAGCTATTGTAGATTTTTATTAAAATTTGATGATTTGTAAAATGTTTGTTCTTTATAATTCAATTCATGACTTGCAAATGCTAACATACATAGGAAAAAATTGTCAGCATTGAAAAAGCCTGCTCCATTAACAAAGTGCCAAAATGTATAGGAATGAATATGTGACAAGTATGTGAATTATCAAATGTTATTGTTGTTGGATTCGGAAGGTGGAGGACCGCATTCATGGCATCGGAGAAGGCCTATGCCCAGCAGTGGGCAAACAAAGGCTGATGATGATGATGATTGTCAGTTCCATACATTTTTGTATAAAAGTAATGTTAACGGCAGACAATCTAGGGACACATTTGTCAACTTCCCTTTAAAACTAGATTCAATTAGAACATCAGTTACAGGACAATCTTATCTAAGGGTGCGACCCAGCATTGGGCCTTGGAGATTGTTTTCCAAAAAGGTAAAGACATGATCAGTATAAAATTTGGTGCTACAGGTTTATTAAAAAGAATATTTTAATTCTGATAATATTTATTACTTATTAAAATTCACATAATAGACACAAACTAAAATTACAAAGCCAATGAACCAACACTATTACATTCAATCTTATGGCTAAAGCCGAAATATATTATTTTCTATTAATTTTAAACAACTAAATTTTTATACATAATTTAAAAATTTAGTTTGTACATAGAAATGTAAAAATAAAGCTTAAACAATAATGATGTACTAACTATTATAAATAACATTTACCGCCGCCAAACAGCTTCGAGGGGGTTATATTGGCAAATCAGCAGTTGACATTCTCCACACACAGACAACAGATGGCTTCTATCATTGAAAGCAATACATGTATGGCCATACAAATGAGAAAATTTAATAAAGTGAGCTTTTAAACATCAAGCAATAAATTCATGATAAAAACTATTAGGAATATGTCTTGAATTTATCGCAATTAAGATTTGTATAGCCATATGACAGTATAAAAGAAATATACCATAATCAAGTTTAGAAAAAATACATCACAGAATGTTTTATTTCAGAAAATTTATACCCGTTAATGTAGATCCGCTGTATAATTAAATATTCATCAATAATATTAACTATAAACTATCAGAAATGTTGCCCATGGCAACTAATAATAATTTTAAGCTAAATATACGTTATACATTTTTATATAAATATCTCAAAAATAAGCAAATTCAAATAGCCCACACTTACATTTTTTGCAATAGCAACTAATAAGTTTTCATCAAAGACTTTCACATACATGGATAAACTATAAAATACATCATCTATTTAGTGATAAATTCAAATATAGACTAATAAATAATGTATCTATACATATATTAAAATTGGAGTGTCTGTAATATCAAAATAAAGATTTTTTTTTGTCTGTCCACAAGCCGCGTTTGTTCTGGTAACCTCCGAAACGGCTGGGCCGATTCCAACCTTACTTACACTGAAGGGAAGCTGACATAGACCCGCATATATGCTACTTTTTTTATCTTAACATTGTGTGGACGAAGTCTCGGACAGCAGCTAGTTCTATCATAAATCAGATTTGTGTTAAATTATCAATAATTTATCAACATGATTCATACATAGATAGTACAAAATATAATTCTATTATAAATTATTGATATTCGATTTCAATTTGTGGTAAATGCATGGCACAATTTTTATACTACATTTTTTTCTATAAAAAATTCACCTAAGTTATGCTCTAAGTTAAAAAAATTGTATATAATAAAAATAATATATTTGAATTGACTTGGTTATTAAGAAAATTTGCAAGATCACATAGTACGGTTTACACACCGCACATTAAAGGAAATATAACAGTACAAAACTGTAAATTGTTTAAATCATACAGTTTAACTGTTACAATATATACTATTACAAATAAAGTTAATATTGTAGGCCAAGAAAAGTACAAGGAAATCTTGTTTTATCAGTACATATTTTAAATATACAACTCATAAACCTTTCATATTAACACAATAATAATAACTATTATTTAATCCATATATATAGTCAAAATATTTTTAATGCAATAGTAAATGTTCAGGCGACACTACCAAATTAATATATAATAGACATAAACCATCCATCATCACCCCGCATTAGGGTAGGCTCCGAGCCCCTCGGTGGGGACGTGTAGTGAGCTGGTGATGATGAGACATAAACTACATACATTTTGTTACATAACAGTATAAATATATATTAACTACCAATAGTCATAATGAAAATTTTAAATGAATTATGCTGCAACATCATTACACTAAATTACATATTTATGCTTAAAATGAAAGATGTGAAGATGAACAGGTTACATTGATAAATAAATATAACCATGTGATATATTTAAGGTTGATTTTACATAAAAATAGATATAAAAACAGGCTTATTATAATATTAAATGATATTTCATTATTACTTTGAACATGAAATAAAAACAAATGAATTGTATAACTCAATGTTGCAGTAACTTTCTTCTAATCAAATATGGTATAAATTGTAAACCTAGTGATAGATGTTTAAGTTCATGGAGGTAAAGTTTACACTATTATTTGAATTTTATCATCTGTAAAATAGCTAATACAAAAGCAGATAATTTGAAAAGCTGCACACATAGTGGTGTGGTCTCTCGTACTGACCATCGGTGATGCTCAAATTTAAATCTCATAAATAAGATTTCCTTAAATACAATAACTTATGGTTATAGTGAGAATTTAGTTATGATGAATTACAAAGACCATAGAGTACTCTAAATCATTTGAATTATGTTTATTATAATTTTTATGTTATTTGAACTTTATAACCACTAATTTTTAACTCAAACTTCTACCACTTACCATTAAATGCATAAAAATTATAATTTACTAATACTTATAACAATCAGCAATTGCACTGCCAGCTTTAATCAATTTAACAAGCGAAACATATTTTTATGTCTTATCATTACTATTTTGATGTTTAAAGCCAGTCCCATGAGTCTTCATTATCTTGCTTTTTCTTTATCGTGATATTTTTAACATCAGGAGGTGGGCTTGATATACCAACCTGAGATAGATCACGAGTATCTAAATTGTTACGAGCTGCTATAGAAGATGTTGACGACTGGTTTGGCTCGTCCCTTAATAAAATAGAATAAAGTGATATAAAATCAACATTGCACAGGATTTCTACAGACAATGGTGAAATTAATTTAAATATTTCTTAAACTCACCAATTGAAGTAGGTCTCCGAAGTGGAATTTTTCATTGCACCATAGCTTTGAGTTAGGAAATGAGGACTTGTGTTGCTGGCTCTACGCAACTCGTTAGCGCCGCCCAAAGAGCTTCTCCCACCACGATTATTGACCTTAAATAAAGTATAATTCATTACCAACTTTTACTAATTCTACCCTTCATCTAATGTTTAAAATCTGGTACTTTTGTTAAAGATATTTCTCTTATAAAAACATAAAAATATACAAACCTTATCTGTGACAGTAGATGCCATTTCAGAAACTTTCTGTGAAGCTATTCCTCCATATTTAACAGCACTTTCAGTCGCAGTACGAGCCACTTTGCTAACAGAAGATGTTAGCATAGACCAACCCTGTAAAATATAAAATACATTATCCTAATGTGAAGAAATTTAATTGCAATTACTAAAATACTTATATAATAAGTATATGTCTTTAATTTTCCTTTACATATAACAAAAAGTGTTACCGATGCTAAAGAAGCCAGAGTGTTGTCAACAATCTCATTTCCACTGTGCATTGGTGACATAGGAGTTGATTGAGATTGATTCTGAGAACTACCAAAGCCCACATAGCGACCACCTCCATACTTGCTACTATAAAAAAAAACATTACTGAATCTTTCAAAATAGTAAACATAAAAGTTATAAATATGGTATCATGAAAATGCTTACTGATAACTGATATCATTATCAGAACCACTCATGTGGAACATGTTGTCATTAGAGGAGTAAGATCCTTGTGAATTCCAATCCGATGACCTTTCAGTATTGTCAGGCTTATAATCAGATGGACTCCATGAGCCACCTTCAGCAAGAGCTGCTATCTGTAATCGCATTGAATTGTCAATCCTATTGTATAAATAGAGTAAGTTACAAATACATGAGCTGCATTTACTTTTAGTCGAGGCAGAAATCACTAACATTCAGCCAATTTCAATAAAAAAAAGCTATTAAATCAGCTCTCATTACCATTAATTAAGCAGCAAACTTGTTTTGTAATGATAAAACAATTTAGCAATATTGATATACTTTCAATTTCAGTATAATTATGGTGGAATCTAAAATTATTGATTGTATATTCCTACAATATAGTTGTAAAGCTTTGTGGGATAGAAGATAAATTATAATTTACCTTTTGTCGGTACATGGCGGCAGCTTTTGTATTGTACTTCTGTGGTATTGACATATCCGGCTTATAGTCTGGCTGGTTTTCAAAAAATAGGCGAGCTTTTGCATTTCCACCAACCTAATAACATAGTAATTTTCCTTGAAACTCAATCATGCATCATAGTTACTTATTACTTGCAAGCAATGTGGATTTTTCCAGGATCAATACTAACTATATTTCAAAATTAAAATATAAAATTATATTGAATTATATACCATCATTTTTTCGAGTTCGATGTCTTTCCACTTGTCCATGGTTATTGAACGCACGAACGAGAGGTGCACACCGAGGCTTCGATGAACTCCAGAGCAGTCCAAGCAGATCCATATTCCATAAGTGACAGATGCCCATTGTGGGTTCAGCGTGTCACATTCAAAGCATTTCTAAGAATTATTAAAGTTAAAAAATTTGGAATAACTGTTTAATATGTAGTATACACAGTTTGAGCGACATTGACTTACGTGGTTTTCATCTTGTGTCCTCACTGAATTTAACTTCCGACGGGTACGCGGCGAAGCCATTTAGTTTTCTTTTATGTACGATTGTTTAATGTACAATGCCTTATAGAACAAGTTGTCTTAACAAAATTAAATGTAAATCTAAGGATACGAATACGACACGACACGTTCCTCAGAATTGCTCCGAATTTCAGAATCGAATTGCTTGCTTCGAAGCTCCGAAGAATGTCAAAGTTTTTCCAACACCAACCAAAAATGCCAACTTGACTTGCGAACGAATGAATGACGTACCATTCAAAGAGTATGTAATAACAAGGTGACTGAAAGTGATGAACTAGAAATATAGATGTCTGGTTCACACTTTGCTAGTACAGTTGGACTGTAGAGCTTCATAGTTTAATTTGCATTCAACTGGCATAATGTGAACTAGACGTGAGCGTTATTTCACGTCACTAGTTACAATCACCTGTG